CCAATTTATTTGGGCATAAGCTTTCGTGGGCTAGAGCCCACTTCATCAGATGCATGGAGTGAAAAATACAGGAGCAGGTATAAATACATAAAAGGATGGGGGTTGCTTTACCAAGTGTGAGGTCAGTCTAGCAAGATAAATCAATTAACAGCAGGATATCAAGGGAGGAAAAATAACTTTTGAAGTGGTAAGAGAGTGGCTCATTATAGACAGTTGACAAGAAGGTGTGAGTAACAGTAGGGAGAAATTAGGAATGGGGAAATTAAGTTTAGGTTTTGTAATGACCCAACCACTCCCAGTCTTTATTCAGGCCTAATCTGATGGTATCCAGTTTGCAAATTAATTGCAGTTCTGCTGTTTCACGTTGGAGTCTGGTTTTGAAGTTTTTGTTGTTGAAGAATTGCCACTTTTAGGTCTGCTATTGAGTGATCAGAGAGACTGAAGAGTTCTCCTACTGGTTTTTGAATGTTATGATTCCTGATGTCTGATTTGTGTCCATTTATTCTTTTGCATAGAGACTGTCCGGTTTGGCCAATGTACATGGCAGAGGGGCATTGCTGGCACATGATGGGATATATCACATTGGTAGATGTGCAGGTGAATGAGCCCTGGATGGTGTGGCTGATGTGGTTAGGTCCTATGATGGTGTTCCTTGAATACATATGTGGACAGAGTTGGCACCGGGGTTTGTAGCAGGGTTTGGTTCCTGGGTTGGTGTTTTTGTTGTGTGGTGTGTAGTTGCTGGTGAGTATTTGTTTCAGGTTAGGGGGCTGTCTGTAGGCGAGGACTGGCTTATCTTCCAAGGTCTGTGAGAGTGAGGGATCGTCCTTCAGGACAGGTTGTAGATGCTTGATGATGCACTGGAGAGGTTTTAGTTGGGGGCTGTAGGTGATGGCTAGTATTTTTGCACATGGTGGTCAACTATAGTTTGTTTTCTTATACAGGGAATTAATTACTATACACATAAATCTTGGGAGCAATAGGAGGCAGTAAGAACATTACATTGATCAGCAGGTATGTATTCAAAGTACTATTAAACCTAGCTCTAGCTTTTGATCTTCACCAAGGAAAAACAGAGAAGTTTCAGATTCTATATGTTATGCATCATGACACTGATGAAGTCACAAGCACCAATGTGCTCATCCTGTGGGGTGCCTCACTGCCCGGGGCTCAATCCTGAGCGGGGCCTCTGGGTGACGCTAGAATACAAACCATATCACCTCCTTTGTACAGACGGGAAACTGAGGCACGGGCACGGGTTCATTTGCTCACTCGGGGAGGCAGTGGCCGCGCTGGGAGGAGTGCCCAGCCCTAAACCCGGTTCCCCTCTGCTCCGCACCTACTGAGCCTCTGGGGCCCAGGCGGAAGGGAGGAGGGTGGCTCAGCTCGGAACCCCGGTTGTGGGCAGCGCGGCTGAGCCGGAGGAGTCACCGCGCCGCTCCCCATTCGGGGGAGGAGGGAGCCCAAGCTGCAATCTCCCGGTTGCGGCGGCAGGTGGCGCTGGCGGCTGTCGCGCTGGGCCCCAGGGAGCCCCGCGTGTGCGAGCGGGGCAGGAGGCGGCGCTCGGCAGAACTTGATCCGCTCCGCGGAGTCCGAGCTGGAGCTGTCGCTCGGCGGCAGCAGCAGCAGCAGGAGGCTGCGGGTTTCGGCTCCAGCCCCGGGCGGAGGCGCTGAGCGGAGCAGACGGCAGCCGCGCGGGAGGTAGGAACCGCCCGCCACCTCTTCCCCCCGCGCCGGGCACCCCGGGCAGCGTTGTCACTGGGCGCTCCCTTCCCCCGCGCCGGGCACCCCGGGCAGCGCCGTCACCGGGCGTCCTGCTCCGGGCAGCCTCTTCCCCAGCGGGCACTCGCAGCTCCGCGCTCCTTCGGGCCCCTGGGCAGCACTGCTGCTGGACACCCCCAGCTCCGGGGGACCCCCGGCTCCCCGTTGCGGGCAGCGCTGCCAGCGGGCACCCAGCTCCGCGCGGACCTTTCCGCGCATCGGGCGCCGCCGCCGAGCTCTCCTGGCCCTCTTCCCGGCGCGGGGGCTGCTTTGTCTAGGGGGAAACTCCGCGGAGCGTGACCCGCTGGGCTCCTCCGCGCCCGCGGGTCCCGACCAGAGCAGCCGGGCTTGAGGGCGGGGCGGCCCCTGCTCCTCCTTCTCCTTCCCCGGTTGGCTCGGGCTGCGTCCGGCCGGCGCTCCCTCTAGGGGGAGTGTCACTTCCCCCAGTGCTGGGCAGCTCGCCCGGCGCCAGCTGGGGCATCCACGTAGCCCAGTCCCGTTAGGGGTAGTCGGTCGCCGCGCTCCGGGTCGGGTGAGTCTCCACTAGCTGGATAGGGGCTCGGTTCCGTGCGGGCTGGTGCCCTGCCTAGAGCAGCGGGGTCTGGTTCGCAAAGGGTCCCTTAGGTGCTGCTATGCTACCACTAATTAATAATATCCTGTAACCCCCTCCCTCAAACGACCCTCCAACAAACTCCTCCCTTTTGGCATTGAAGAATAAGCTGTGATAGCCCATTAAGGTTTAGTGGCCTTGTCTTCACTAGGGAAAATGTGTGTTCTTACCTTGACACAAGGAAGACAAAGGAGTTTGTAGCTTTTCACTCATGCCAACTGATGTAGCATTTATCTCAACCTGCCAACACATCTAAAAACTACAAACTGCCTTCTCCTTGCTAGGATTTCCCTTTCTGTTACCATGTGTTAGCTAACAAAAGGTGAGAAAGCATCTTTTTTTCTTTTTATTGTGGACTAGCCAATGAGATTTAGGCCCCTAAATTCCTAAGGATATGTCTATACCACCACCAGCAGCAGTCATCCCTGTCCCGGTGCACTGTCTTGGACTTGTGCTAGCCATTGTAGACAGCGCTTTGAAGTTGTGGCTGGGTGTGGAGCTGGGACCAGAGCAGCAATTTCAGAGCTGTTTTTTAGAATGCCATTAAGCTACAAGCCCCACTAGCTGGAGTCTCTCAGCCCAGGCTGGGAGGTTTGCTTTTGTGGACTTTGTAGACATACCCAAAGTCTTTTTATCCATTGGCTTTGTCTGCATGGGAAAGTTTGTCAGTATAATCTAAAGTGTGACTTTACACCTTTATGATTATCCTGGTATGACCTCCCTTTGTAGATGCTAATTCTGGGATGTGAATGGCTTTTTTTCAGTTTAGTTTGTGGCTTGTGGTGGGATATAAGGGAAACCAAAAAAAGTTACTCTTACCAGAATAAATGTGCCCATACAGGGAGGTATAACTAGTAAAACTTCCTTATAGACAATTCCTTAAAGGTGCTTTTGGAAATTTTACCCTAAATTTTGCTGATTAGAAGTTAAGCGTCTAAGCATCTAAATTGGAATTAGGAGCCTAAGTCACCTAGGTGACTGAAAATTTTACCCCTAGCTTGTCACTTGACAGTCTGAATGGTCTATTGGTGGCAGCATCCCAGGCAAGTAACTTTTTAAAAAATGGCTAAATAAATAATAAGTAATAATAATAGTAAAAAATAGAATAATCCCTCATAATGGCAAAGGCTAGACAGAATCCTCTCTCTTCCCCTATTGACAGCCTTGATACCTGATTTTATTTATAAAGAGAAAGAAAGGTGAGAGTTAAAATTGGTTAAAGGAGTCAATTACATACAGTAATGACAAAGTTCTTGGCTCAGGCTTGTAGCAGTGATGGAATAAGTCAAGTCTCTGGAGTACATCCACAGCTTGGATGGGTCATTCAGTTCATTGTTCAGAGCTTCAGTTTGTAGCAAAGTTCCTCCAGAGGTAAGAAGCAGGATTGAAGACATAATGGGGGTGTTCCCTGGACCTTTTATAGCTCTTGCCATGTGGAGAGCATCCCATTGTTTTTACAGTGGAAAATTACAGCAACAAGATGGCGTTTGGAGTCACATGGGCAAGTCACATATTTATGCCCAATTTCCCTTAGTCATTGCAGGAAGCCATTACCTACACTCCAGACAGCACGTTTACATGACAGTCCACTCAGTGTAGATCGGTGTCTCCCATGGTCCATTGTCAACCAAGTGTTCCTTGATGAACCACTTAATTTGAATAGTCCCTCCAAGATGTGTTGGGCGTTACCTTGTAGGCATTACCTCAGGAGCAAACATTTGAAATCCAAGTATAGAGCCAATACTTATCATTTTGTATATGAAGTTATATATGCATACAGGTAGCATAATCAGAACCAGCAAGTCATAACCTTTTCATAAACACCTCACTCTACAACAGGGGTCGGCAACCTTTCAGAAGTGGGGTGCCGAGTCTTCATTTATTCACTCTGATATAAGGTTTCGCGTGCCAGCAATACATTTTAATGTTTTTAGAAGGTCTCTTTCTGTAAGTCTATAACATATAACTAAACTATTGTTGTATGTAAAGTAAATAAGGTTTTTAAAATGCTTTAGAAGCTTCATTTAAAATTAAATTAAAATGCAGAGCCCCCCAGAGCGGTGGCCAGGACCCCGGCAGTGTGAGTGCCGCCGAAAATCAGCTTGCGTGCCGCAGGTTGCCTATCCCTGCTCTACAACCTTTGTACAATATTTGCTGCAAATATATAACAGTGGCTGCAACAATGATGTGTATGGTCATATTTTAATCAGATAACATCACAACATACCATTAGCTATGATATGTTTTTAAATGTCAGGTGTCAATTTTTTAAAAAATTCAATCTTTGTGAAGTTCACTGCCTTTAATGTATTTAAGGAAAGTCCACTTTTTTCAGTGTACCAAAACTTCATCCTAAAAATTTTTTTGTTTAGAAAAGACCTTTTGACTTTTATCGAATCTCCCTTGAAATTTCTTGTGTTTGCATACTTTGGGTCCTTTATAGAATGTATCAGTTTTACATAGGGCCCTATCAAATTCACGGTCCATTTTGGTCAATTTCACAGTCATAGGATTTTTAAAAAAGTAAATTTCATGATTTCGACTATTTAAATCTGAAATTTCATGGTGTTGTAATTGTAGGGATCCTGATCCAAAAAGGAGTTGTGTATGTGGGGGGTGTTGCAAGGTTATTTGTAGGGGGTGGATTGCGATATTGCTACCCTTACTCCTGTGCTGCTATTGGTGACAGTGCTGACTTCAGAGTTGGGCAGCTGGGAAGTGGTGGCTGCTGGCCGGGAGCCCAGCTTTGAAGGCAGTGCTGCTGCCAGCAGCACTGCAGAAGTAAGGATGGCATGGTATGGTATTGCCACCCTTACTTATGCACTGCTGCCTGCAGAACGGGGCCCTTAGTCAGCAGCTGCTGCTCTTCGGCCACCCAGCTCTGAAGGCAGCAGCGCAGAATTAAAGGTGGCATGGTATAGTATTGCCACACTTACTTCTGTGCTGCTGCTGGCGGGGCGCTGCCTTCAGAGCTGGACACCCAGCCAACAGCCACTGCTCTCTGACTGCCCAGCTCTGAAGGCAACACAGAAGTAAGGGTGGCAATACCATGACCTCCCCTAAAATAACCTTGCAGCCCCCCTGCAACTCACTTTTGGGTCAGGACCCCCAATTTGAGAAACACTGGTCTCCCCTGAGAAATCTGTATAGTGTAGGGTAAAAGCGCACAAAAAAACAGATTTCATGGTCTGTGACGTGTTTTTCGTGGCTGTGAATTTGGTAGGGCCCTGGTTATACAGAATTTTTGCCTCCTAATTTCAGTAAAATGTGAGTTCCCTCAAAAAGTGGGAGAAAATAAAGGGTTAAAAGAGATGTTCATAACCATGCCTGTCCGAAGACTGAACTCTCTTGGCTGATCACTTTATGTAAGTGTTAGGAAAACAGAATGAACAGGGGGATGACCTTGTTACTGCCGATTAAGGGACAAGCACCTATTTTCATCTAGAACTTCATCTTTTAAGAATATTTATGCTATAATTCTTTATAGATGGAGAAAAATATCTCTGGAGCAAGTGGATCTAGCATTGAATAGCTGCATGAACTGTCGCACATTATAATAAAGTTATTGTGCCAGCATTACAATAATAATGGGATGCTACACTAACAGATTTTGGCAATGAGTAGTTTTAATACTGATGTCCTGTTTTGACATCTGTGGAAGGAGGATTAAAGCAGACAGAATTGGTAGTGGGTCGGTGTGAGTGGAATGAAAAGGAAAAGCTTCTTAATTTTAATCTCTTCTCAAAAAGGTGACTAAAAGTAGCACAGAGGGATAAATCATATTAACCTTATCTTAGTGGTTTTTAATTGTAGTCATTTAAATATTTTGTGTAAACTCAGCATTAGTAAAACACTACTTTAATTTTTATAACCAATAACCGGCAATATATGTGTAGGCACAGCTCCTTGTCTCCTAGAGAGTTTCTGCTAGACCATCTCCTCCCCAAAGAGAGGGATTCTGATTGACTATGAAGGTGCCTATGGCAATGCCTCCATAATTAGGGTTACGTTCTAGAATGGTCTTAAAATGGGCCATAAATTCCTGCTTTTTGTTTTTTCTTTTTGTAAGAGTAGGTGACCAATTGGTAGAACATTTTAAGCCCTTTGAATTTTCTCTGCAGCTCTTGTCTGGTTATTCTTCATAAATTTTTAATAGGTCTTTGAAATTGGTCTCTGGCTGAAATTTTTCCATGGGAATCTGACTTTTCATTGTTGACTTTTTCTTTTTAAAACAAGATTGTCCATCTGCACAAAACTTGGCAGGAGGTGGATGCTCTGAGTAGATATGGTGCAGTGGATAGGCTTTTTTTATTGGATTTAGGCTTGTTTTTTAGCAGCTGTTTACATTATTATTGAAATCTTACAAAAAAGAGTAAGCAGATCTGAGTGATGGAGGCTGGGCGCGCAAAATCGTCCCTGTCAGGAGCTACCTTTCCTGTCACTTTATTGCATGGTAGAGAAGGGTTTCCTGTGAAGTTGTTGACACACAAGGTTTTCTGCACAGCTACTGATGGAGAAATGGAGAAAATCTTCTCCATCAACTGCTACGCTTCTGCCTCCACCACAATTTCTCCCCAAGTTCCCACCCTTTTATAGTGTTACAAAAATCTAGAGACGATGAATACACAAAAAACTTTGATAAGAAGCAATTAGGGTTGATTCACTCACAACCTACCGGACACTAAATCACAAAAGCAAAGAAATGAAAAGTTAACCAACCTAACGTTATATATCCTCTACTCTTCCCCCCATACCTTACCACAAACACTGTACATCATAGATCAAGCACTGGAAACTTAGTTCTGTCCTGTGATTCTCAACCGGGGGTCTGGGGTCCCTTTGGGGGCCGCAAGCAGGTTTCAGGGGGTCCTCTAAGCAGGGCTAGCCTTAGATTCGCTGGGGCCCAGGGGCAGATGGCCGAA